AAAACTCTTGGGGTTTGTTTTCCTGAAGGTTTTGACTTGTGCAGACAGGCTGTTGTGCAAGGACCTATTTATAGAGTTCCTTGCAGCAGAAAACTCCAAGCCAGAAGGAAATCCTCTTTCCTCTTGCCCTGCTCCCCGGGACAGTGGGGCTGAGCCTGCCCACACAGGCATTTGGGGGGTTTGGCTTCATCCTGAATTTGGGCCTTTTGGCAAGGGCAGGGCTTGGTGTGCTGCACAGGGAGAACACAAAACATTCAAGGGAGACTTTTGCAGCATTTCCACTCCATTTCTGGGGTTGGCATAAAGGGGACTCTGGCACTGGGGTGACCCTGGCAAAGATTCTGCCAGGTTCTTACAGCCCTGTGGCCCTGTGTGGAGGGAAGAGGAGAAGGCATTAACCTTCAGCTGGGCTGACTTGGGTTAAATGCTGGGATTTGTGGTGTTTATGAGGCCTGGACTCCTTAGGAACCTCACCTGCTTGGTTCCCTCCATCCCTGGGCTGTTTGCAGCAGGGACAGGGAGGTGTTTGCTGCTGCTGCAGTGAGAGGAGGTTCCTTTGCTTCAGCTCCTGAATGTGCCGTGAATGCAGTGGGTCAGAAAGGTTGGGGTGGGCACACACACCCTGCTGGGTATCTGCATTTGGGGTTATGCTGCTGGCAGATCCATCCAGCTTCCAAATATTCCCTCAGTGTTTGGGCTGAAAGTGCTCTCATTCCACAATGTCCTGTGAGGGTCTGGGGAGGACTCACCTGTTTTGATCTTGCTTCCTGGTTCCTTTTTGCTAAAAGAAGTTGCCTATTCCTCTCTGCCACTGTGGTCAGGGATGATGTGGCTGCCCCAGTGCCTTGTGCTGTGGGATCCTGGTCCGTGGGTCAGGTGAGTGTCCCACATATCCATGGGTGTCAGCTCAGCCAGGCTGCTCACCCTCCTCCTGGGCAAAGCCTCCCTCTCCTTTGTGCCAGGATGCATTGGAGCAATTAAACATTTCCTGGACTGGTTTCTTAGCCCTTGATGTGATTTATTTGGGTTCGTGGACCCTGGAATCTCTGTGTTCTCCTCTTGCTGGTATAAACATTATAAACATGTTTATAGCAAGGACTATCCAGGGCAGAGGGAAGCCCAACCTGCAGCCCTTGAGCTGACTGAGGGTGAGGAAGCAGGTTGGGCTACGTGTAGGAGTTGTGCTGAAAATGTGTGTCAGGAAAGCACCTGCTGACAGCCAACACAGATGGTCTCAGCTGCTTGGCCAGCTCAGTCTGCCCCACGTCTTCATCCTGTGGCTTCCCTTTCATTCCCAGGATTTTGGTGAGTCAGGAACAGTGACCACCCCTCCAGAGGTCCCAGTTTACCAGCCAAGCTCACTTCAGGACAATAAAAAGACTGTTTTAAAAAAGTCAAACCAAGTTTATTTTCACAAGGGAGTATCTCCAGTAATATTTTATTCATGGCTTCCAGCTCACACAGTTCCACTGTTTGAGATTCTGTGTTAGTATCAATGCTATGGAGGGAGACTGAACAGATTCCATCTGGGACGTGTGGGATCAGCCCTTTTCCAGGGGACACCTCTCCAGATGAAGTGGATTTGCCGTCCTGTTCCCATGCTTGTGGTGCTATTTTGGTACCTTCCAAGCAATCTGTGGGCAGGAGCCCTGCCCCTGAGCAAGCAGCTGGAGGATAATAATGCAGCTCAGAGGACCAAGCTGAGCTTTGCACAGCAAGTCGCCAGGACTGCTGAAAAGCCAGATTTATGGAGAGAGGGCTGCATTCCTTCTCCGCTTGGAACTGCAGCATCCCCACCCACCAGCTGTGTCCCAGCTACGCCCTGTCCCAGCAGAGGGGCTGAAATGAGCTGCTTCATTCTGGGGACTCCCCGGCAGCCAGGGCTGGCTCTCCCTGTGCTTTTGCTCAGGGTGGAATTTGAGGGCTCCAATTTCTCTTTGCTCTTTCCCTCCCACTTCATCTGAGAAGGTGTCCCCTGCTTGCCCTCGCTCCTCGGTGTCTCGGATCTCACACGTCTCCCTGGCAGTAAGATGGTCGTGATAATGGCCTGAAATGTCCTTCCTGACACAGCCCTGATCGTGTTACAGCTCCACTCCTGCTCTTGATCCTACTTACTCTGGAAAACGGCAGAGGGATAGTCCCATCTGCCCCTAAGAAAGAGAATTAATAATTCCCTGTCCCTTGCCATGGGCCAGAGCTCTGAAGCATGACGACTTCTCACATGTCTGCTGTCAGGTGACAGTGCCTGGGAGAACCCACAAGAGTTAGGATCAGCTCCCTTTGGCTCATGTCTCTTCCCTACCTGTCTCCACTTCAGTGGAATCATTGGCTCATCCTATGTAAACACCCAAGATTTTAGTCTGAATCATTGGCTCATCCTATACAAATACCCAGGAGCCCTGAACTTCCCTGTCAGGGTTTGCATGTGAGTGAGTTCAGTTGGTAAGTGATTATCAGATCAGAAAGAACCACCCTCTGACTCTGTTCCACGGGACAGGCTGGGAACTTGTCCAAAACAAAATGCACTTCTTGAGCAGGGGCCAAACAGCCAAATCTGACCAGCTCCCAGGGCTCTGAGTCCACAGGCTAAGCTTGCCCTTGGGTCTGGTTCTGAACCCAAACTTCAGAAATGGGCACAACAAAATTAAATCATGAGCTCAGATCTGTCCCATTTATACCGAAGAATCTGCTCCCCTCCAGATATGAATACAGACCAGAAAAGATCAACAGAAACACTTTGCAACTTGAGCCAACCTCCTGTAAAAAAAAGAATAGAATTGAACACTGGGAGCTGCTGTGCAAACTCATTTCCATGGTTCTCTTGCACCTTAAAGAGAGTTGGGCTCCCTGGAAGCAGGTGGCTCCATGCTCCAGCCCCCGAGGCATGAAGCAATTCCTGGAAGAATGCAAGTCTGGATGCTGTAAGAGAAACACCCACTGAGTTGTTTAACAATGCCACGCTGGGTTTTTGGATCCTCAACAAAAGAAGCCATGCCTCGGGAGCTCCTCCGGTGGTTTTGCTGCTCTTTAAGGAAGGCAATAGACTGTATAGTTATCACCTGAAATGGGATCAAATCCCTCCCACCAAACTATACAACCTACTACCTCACCTCCACAGAGCAGAACTGACGGATCACGGGCAGGGATTGGCTTTGCTTGCACCACCTGCCCCCACACCTGTGCAGAAGTGGATGAGCAGACCTGAAGATGTGACTGTCTCCTTAGGAAAGACAGTAGATTGTATAGTTAGCTCAGAGGGAGGACCGGACTCCACAACTATTCAATCTACTACCTCAGCCTCAAGGACAGCTTGGACCGTGTCAGCCTAAGGCACTGGGATGAGCCTTATCCAGGCACTGGGATGATCCTTATCCAGGCACTGGGATGAGCCTTATCCAGGCACTGAGATGATCCTTATCCAGGAACTGGGATGAGCCTTATCCAGGCACTGGCTGCTCCGCAGGTCCTGCAAAGAGGAATGCATGAAAAATCAGAATTTTTGATGGCAGGAGAGAGGAGTCATATCCAACCTTGTTCTGGAGCTCTTTTTCCTTCTTCAAACCTCCTTCAGCTCACTAAGACTATACCTTGTGCTTGGCAATGCCACTGGCTGCAGTCTCCATGCACCCAAGGGTGCACAAAAGCAGCAGCCCTGCCCTTGGAACCCGGGGCTACACATGGAGATAGCAGAGCTCTCAGGAAGCTGCAGCAGCGCCAAGCACACCCAGCCAGGCTGACCTCACCTCCTGAACACACGGGGTATCTAGAACAAACCTGCCAGACCAGATAAGAGAATCCATCAATTTAGCTGCTGTGCACTCCAGGGAATTGAGCAGATTAGAAATAACTAAGTACAAGGAAGCTTTTAGGCTGCAAATGTAATGGTATCGAGTACATCAAGGCAGATCTTATTTCCTAAACAAATGAGTGCAACATGCAGCCGTGCTGTCCCTCTAATGCTCCAGCCCAGCCAAGCAGTATTAGCATGGATCTGAGACAGACTGGCTTTCCCCCAAGCCCTTGGCTCACCTTCTGAGGCTTCTTCACTCTCTGTACACCCAAATACAGAGACGAGGTATTAGTCTGGTAGTTTGAAAGAAATGTGTGAGGCTCTTTTGCAAGGAGAAAGAATTCCCCTCGGAGATTAAAGCAGCCCTAACAACGAGGGAGCCACGCCAAGCAGGCTGCATGTGCAGCCCAGCACAGACCCAAAGGATAACTTCCCATGGGAGCTCAGCAGGAGATGTCCCCAAGCTCCACAAGCATCTGCTGAGTGCTGTGCTGGGAGAGGAGGGGGCTCAGGCAGAAGGCTCCAAAGGGATAAAAGCTGCCTAATGCTTTGTGCTTCCACAGCTACCAGGCAACAGCCTAAATATTCCCAAAGCTTTGGTGAACTGCTGTAACTGGAATCCTTGTGAGAGTTTAGGATGGCCTTAGGATATCTCTGCAGCAAGGTTTGGGAATTGCCTTCTTCCAGAGCTCTCCACAGGCTCTCCTCACTGGCATCAACACAGTCCAGGTAATTCTCTTAATTTCCTTTGACAAACTGGTCTTTCACAGGGAATGACCCACTGTGCTGGACCATCTGGCCCAGGCCTCTCCTGGTGTAGCAGGGTATGAACAATGTCAAAACCCCAATGAGGTGGAACTGGTTCCTACAGCACTGCAGTGCCCGGCCCATCCCTGGTGCCAAGTGCATCCCAAACAGCCTCCTGATGGGAAATGCTATTTCTCCTGTTTTTATCAGCATCAAAAGTGATGCACAGGGGCTGCACATCCCTCCTCAGCACATGCAACACCAGCCAGAGCGTGGGTGAGGTGACAGCCAGGCTTAAGGGTCCATGAGGTCTGTCACTGCTCAGCTCCTTGGGGACAGAAGGGTTAATCTAAACTAAAATGTTTCAGCTTCCCAAAAATTTAGCTGCTGTCACAAGCATCAAGCAGAAGGGTGGCAAGAAAGCCAACAGATGCTGCACCAGGTCAGAGCCTGGGAGGGTGGGTGTTCCAGATGATTCCTGGGTGATGAATAGAGGCAGAGGATGCCAGTCTTCTCCAAAGAGACTTCTAGCAACTGACCTGGAGGAACTTTTTTTCCTAGTTCCCAATGTGGTGGTTTATATTACTTTAAGCACATAAGCACATGTATCAGGCAGGCATTTCAGAGGTCACTCGTGACACCATTGCAGACAACAGGCATTTGGGCCAATCTCAAAGTGTTGGTGGGAAATTAAATTAAATAAGTCTGTGTTCACATAGATGTAATTATACATGCAGAGAGAAAAAAAATCCCTTTTGACTTCTATAAGTAAACCTGAAAACAGAAGACTTAATTATAATAATTGTCTTAATGAGTATAGGTTTTGGGAATACCCAGCTGCTGACACAGAATCCTGATTTTAGCAGGATCTGTGAAGAAAGGAGTCAAACAGGGGGATTTCTTAGATTTTTTATGCCCAGTAAGGATGACTAAGAGCATCCTACCCTTAGTATCACTGTCACACTTGTTTGTCCTACACAAATTGCAGTGACAGGAATTCCCTCTCCCCATGGCTCGAGGTCTAAACCATCAAGACAAAAGACGAGGAAGGAAGGAGATGTGCCCAAATTTGCCTGGATGTGATGTAGCTATGCAAAATTCTGGATAAAACAGCCAAAAGGCTTTGTATGAGTCAGAGACCCAGACCCAAAGCCTCTCACTCCCTTCTGAGATTAAACCCAGTTTTGAAAGATTTTTGGATACTTGATTGTCAAGAACCTCTTCAAAAAACACCATTTTCTCTGCAGGCCTTACGGCAGTGGCCTTTGTAATTTTCACTTTCCAGATTCATATAGATTCCTCAAAATTGATCAAATCTGATTTCTGTGAAAACACTTCATTGGTCTCTGCAAGCCACTGTATGAAGGTCCCTGTGCACAGACTGTGTCGCTACATGGTCCCACTGTCTACAGGTGCTTGGAGGGGTGAGGAAAATTAGCAGGTAAAGGGTTTGGTTTTTTCACAGCAAGATCCTCCAGGCTGGAATAAAAATAGCATTTCCAGTCCAGCTTTCAGACTTGGTTTTGGGAGCAAGAAGTGACCTAAACTGCTCCTCGTTTATCAGGGCTCAGGGTGGCTTGTGATGATCCCAACAGAAAACCCAAGATGATGCCCCCCAAATTCTGAAACAACTTTGCACCAGAGATTCCTGAGCATGGCCAAGTGTCTGCATTTAAAAGAAGCCCACCTCGGAGAGGAGCTGGAAAGGCTCTGAAGCCTTCAGGAGCTGATCTGGTTTATTCAGGAGCACTGAATGAAATGGAGGAGGGGGGGAGGAGGAAACCATAAAACAACAAAGTCTCTGCTTTAAAAGCTGACACCACTTTCAGCCTTTGTGAAGCCGCGGTCCCGCGTCGGTGCCGAAACGTGCCAGGGACAGGGAGGGCTTCTCAGGGGGAAATCAGGACCCTGAGTCCCCAAGAGGATTTTCAGACCCTGAGTCTCCAAGAGGATTTTCAGCCTCCTGGAGCTGGGGCAGAACCGGCCCCGACTCCCGGGAACGGCGGCGTTGGCACAAAATGGCCGAGTGTGGCCATTTTGTTCCCTTGGCTTCATGTCCTCCCAACCTGGCTGGGATGGAAAAATAAAAACCAAACAGACCAAAAAAAAGATTTAAAAATCAAACCCAGAATTAGCCAAAAGAAGCGTGGAAGGTTTTCAATAACTCCCCAACATTGTGGGGACCCACAACGCCAATTTGAGCCGCTGATCCGGCCGCCAGCGAGGAACCCGCTCACACGAAAAGCAGAAAACAGACCAAAAACCCATCTTGGACACACCCTGTGCCATGAGAAAGCAATAAAAAACAACATTTGCCAAACTAGCCATGAAGACAAGTTGTTTATAACTTCTCCCAGGTCAGGCAAACCTCTCAGCAAAGCAAGGCCAACCGTCTTCGCAAACACCCCATCCTAAAGTCAATATTAAATATCCCACTTTGAAACAGTCAATCAAAGGCACTGTGAATAGGTAAAGAGAAATGGAAGTAAAAATATTTACAGTTCAATCCTGCAACGGCCCCTGTCTCTCAACAATGCTTTTACTCCATATGCCTTGAATGGCATAGGGAATATTTCACAGCAACTTTGCAATTGCATTTATTATTAAACAATTAGCAGGTATCTTTACAAACAGCTGCTCATCACTTAGGGGTTGTCTTGAGTCCTATCAAATGTTTCTAAACATCTGGATCATTATTAATGAATCTGATACTGTTATCTATAATGCAGGCACCTGTAACCTGCTTGTTATATGACTTATCTTTTATTAACCCTTCCTAAATGCATTATTAAAGGTGGCCATAAAGGTGGCCATTCTAAACGTTTGTGTTATTTCCTTGTAAATTTGTATATACCTCACCCTTTCCTGAAGCAAAAAAAAAAAAAAAATCCCAGAATTTTTGTCATAAAAGATAGGCGCTACCGATATTTCCCAGAGTGATTTCACTAAATACTAAAAATAAGAGAAAAAAATATCCTTCAGGTTTATTTTTACCTGTTCTGCACCTGATTCTACAGGTTAACTCAGAAATACAAAGAAAGAGGGGGTTTTTTTCTGTTATACTCTATAAAACTGTTCTATTAATACTGTTAACCTTCTCAATGTTCAGTTCATGAGCTGCTCATGAAAGGTGTGCAGGTAAAGTCCACCTCTAATGTCGATTTGGACCAAAACATTAAATTTGCACCGTGAAGCACCCGCCCAGCGCCCGCCTGGCTCGGGGACCACCGTGGCCCTGCCATTCTCTCTATTGTCTGCTTGCAAACAAGCCAAGGGGATATGGAGGCAAATCAAATACCTTTCTGTGCAAGGAAAGCCATTTCACCTCTTTCTGCTCTCCTTCCCAGCTCCGCTCTGGAAGTGTCTGCTTCTCTCCACATGTCTGGAAAGCCACTCAAGGAACGGCAGGACGATCATTCCAACACCTTATCAGAGCCTGATCCCCCCCCGTGCCACAGGGCAGGGATCTGCTCCTCGGAGTGTCCACGAACAAAGCAACGTGGCTACTAACGCCAAGACATCCAGGCTACCGAAGGAAATGCAGAATCACTTAAAAAAAAAAAAAAAAAGCACTTTTATTTGGCGCATGTTCTGGTGTTTTTGCCCTGCTTCTGCGCACAATTTTACAGTAACGCCACCAAGTTGCTTTAAACTTTCAAGGCGTGTTCCTGTTGATGGTGTTTCTGTTGAGTATCACACCTTAACGTGTGCAGGATACACACAGAGTGCAGTAAACAGCTTGTGAGCACAGTAGAGCTCCAGCCTTGGGAGAAAAGCAAGGGCTTAAAAAGCCAAAAACAGCTATTGCTTTAAATATTTAAATTAAGATGTTTTTATTCCTGAGATGAAAACTTTCAAGGGAAGAAGGCAATAAACAAAAAAATCCCTAAAAAAATATCCTCAGGATTACATCAGCTAAATCCAGGCGGTGCCAGTTCGGTGGAAAGGTCAGATCCCGTATGCACCAAAAACAAGAGGACACACAACAGGTTAAAACGCTGCTGTCCGGCAATGACCGGCTCTGGTCATACCAAGCCGATGTGTAAAATCATCCGCCCGTCCAAAAAACAAATTAAGACAACAGTGCTCTCTGGTACTTTATAAATCCAGAAGAAAGGAGGGCTGTTTTATTGAATATAGCGAACAAACCTTTCCGTCCGGCTATTCCGTGCAGCCCCGCGGCTCTGCGTGCACCGAGTAGCCCTTACGCTGCTCATACAAAAGCTCAGTTTGGCAATTCCAGGCATTTTCAGTGCTCAACATACGCCAAAACTACCCACTCTCTGCCTTTGGTCTCGTTCCAAAATGTCCTTTTTTTTTTTTTTTTTTTCTCTTTTTTTTTCCCTTTTCTCTCTCTTGCTACAGCCGGTGCCACGTAGAGACGGGAGAGTTGGGCTCGGACATGGCCGCAGCCTCCAAAAAAAGAGCCAAGTCCCGGCGTCCCGGCTTCCCCCTTCCAGACGGGAAACAAAATGGCCATGGAGCAGCCATTTTGTTTGCTGCGGGATGGGAGGGAGAAGGGAAGGGAGGGGAGACGCAGGCCAGGCGGGAAGGATGAGGGGGGAGAGGGGAGGGCGTCAATTCGGCAGGAACCCAAAAGCTCGGCAGCCATGCCCGGGCGCGTCCTCCTTCCTCCTGCCGGCCCCGTCCAGTCCCACAGCAGGACTGAGCAGCAGGGACGGACACAGGGTTGGTTTTCCAGCCCTCCCGAGCTGGTTGAGCCTGAGCTGTCCAGCCTGACATGGGTGACACTTCGCTCCCTGGGCCTGGCTGGCACCTCCATCCCGCCCATGGAGCCCGGCCTGGCCTGGCCTGGCTGCTGCTGGGCTCTGCCAGAGCTCCCGAAGGGAGGAAACCAACCCAGTAACGTCAAAGTCCTGAACTTCCCCGGGCAGGAAATGGTGTAAATAACACCCGCGGAGAGGGGACAGGAACCCAGCCTTGGGGACAGCCCGGATCCCAACGGCACAGCTGTCCTTGCTTGCTCCTGCCTCAGAAACAGAGGCTCTCTCCAGCAGGACCTTGTGCCCAGCAAAAGCCTCGTGAATTCCAGGACTTTTATCTTCCTGCCTTTCCACAGAGCAGCACCAGAGCTGCCCATCCGGGCAACACACCCCTGGCTTGAGGAACTGGAGACGCCTCTCACTGGACCCTCCTCTCCCAAAAGCACAGGGCTGAAGTTCCAGTTAGCATCCAACACGACACACACATGAATCCCACTCTCCACCACATCATGGTCCTCCAAATCCTGACTAAAACCAATGACAGGTTTTTAGAGCAAGGCAAACACCTCACAAACCTGTCTGGGAGTACCTGGTGTGGGAAGACCCTTAGGAGGACACAGATGAAACACCCCCTGGGCTTTCTGCTTCTGTAGATGGGACAAGCTGTGAAAATCAGGAGTATTCCCACGATTTAGGACTGGTAAGATCTCCCCATTAGAAGTCCTATCTCTTAAGGATGCAGGGAACTAGAAATGTCAAAACCAGCTTTGAAGCTGTTACAGGACCTGTAGGAAAATCCTGTAAGGAAGGTTGTCAATAGGATGAAGCACTCTGTGCCATATTCACATGGGATAAATTTAAGCACAGGAGGCTGGACCTACTCAGCTTTCTGGAGTCAGTGGGGAGGGTAATTTCTCTGCAAAGTAATTCAGAGCAGAAACATAATGGCAATATCTTGAATTATCCTATGAAAAAAGTTACATCTTCAGATTTTTTAGCAACCACTATGCCTCACTGCAATTTCTGGCAAAGTAACCTAAGACCTCCAGGTGAAAATTGTTATGGATTTATTAGTAATTTGTTGTGATTGATTAGGCTTATTAAAATGTCCCTAAAAATAAGCATCACCTGTAACAAACTCCACTGAGAGCCTGCTCAGGATATCCTGATTTCTGGTATGGGTTTGATGTGGAGCCATGTGACCCCACAGATAGGTTTGTGCACTTCGTATTAACCTCAAAGTCTGGGAATTTTGAAGATATTTGAGAGATCTAAGTCTGGTTTATTTTATTATGCTTTGAGAAGACAAGGCTTGCTTGAAAATGCCTTTGCATGGAGAGAACAGTGCATTTCTTGTGCAATACTCTTCCAGGAAAACCAGCAAGACAGGTTGGAGAATGATGACCAAGGGGCTCTAGATGTGTACAGGAACGCAGCATGTCAGGCTGAAGCTAAGAATGAAAACCAATTCCAGCTGCTCTAGCACCAATGCTCTCTTCTAGAAACCCCTGACAACCTGAGGAACTCTGTTTTTACCCTCATTCTGAGTGAAAATGAACAGAGCAGGATGACACACGTTTACAAGACACATTTACAAGATGGGGGTTTTTGCCCTTCCCAGTAACAGGGCCCCCACATCAGCAGCACCTTCCTGGTGGTCCTGAGATGGAGAAATATGGAACTGGGGACATTCATGGGGCTGGGATTGTTCAATCTATCAGCAGCACACCCAAAACTGCATGTAGCTGATTATTCAACAAATAACTCAGCACTAGTTGGTTATTCAACAAATCTTAGTCAAATGAGGGTGCATGGGGGGAAAGATGGGAATAGAGAGAATAAGGAAATGGGGATGTTTGGGAAGCTTATGGAGGGGAGAGTGTCTGACATGTAAGCAAGGGAATGAGACCAGGAATGCACAGGTTTTGTGGACCTGGGAGGGAGCTGAGATGGTTTGTGTCAGAAGAGGGAGGTGTGAACATGATTAAAATGCTGGAGCTTCACAAAGGACAAGGGAGGAGTTGCTGAACAGGGATATTTTTGTAGCCTCCAATCTGGGCTGCTGTGGGCTCAGCAAACTGGTGGTGGATTAAGCCATGGTCACGAAAGGAGCCCCTTCTACTCCACAGGCCACTTGCTTTGGGGCCTTCTGCTTCTGTGACCTCACCAGGTCCCTCATTCCAGGCACTCCCTTGACATTCCAGTGTTGAGCAGGGCAGTGGCTGCCTGGGCTGGTTGGGAGCCAGCACACTGGTAAAGCACGTGGCCCCATAATTAAACCCTGTGAGATTCTCCTCCTCAGGGATGGATCCCTGCATGCAGCAGTTGGTTCTCATTCCTCTGCACACTCATCCTTGCTGCTGAGAATTGTCATTTGAGAGCAGGTAAAGCACAAAGCTTCAGGTCAGAGCTGGGTGGAGAGAACAAGCCTCCCCTTTCTGTTTGGGATCAGTGCTCATGACAAAGGTTCTGTGGTGCTGTCATGGGTCTTGCAAGCCAAATAACTCCATCCTTGTGCTTCAGCTCAGGGGTTTTTCCAGCCACACTGCAAAGCTGTGGAAATCAGCTGCTCATCATCATGTGCTGGAGTCAAAGAACTTCCTCAGCATCAAAGTTCCCCTTCTGGCTGTTTGTTTGAATCTCTTCAGGTCTTTGATCCCATCCCAGTGAGCCTCTATTGCCAGTCCTCATGTGCTCCTTCCCACACTGGCCATTTGCTCATGAAATTTAGAGTACATGAAGATGTGAGTGAAAACCCAAGCCGGTGAGAAAAACTTTCCTTGAAAATGAGGAGAAGTGGTTTTGGTTTTATTCCTTAGTTGGTGCATGTGGGTGAGGCAAATTGCCTCCTCTGAGTATTTGGATGGATTCAGTTCTTCTCAGGTTTGTCCAGTACCTTCCCTCACTGGGCCTGAGCACTCTCTTGGGAGTTTTTAGGATTCCTCCATTTCTGTCTCAGGGAAATTATGTGCATAAGGCAGCAGCAGCCACACAAAATCATTTAGGATGGAAAAAAACAGATTTCACAGCTGCATTGCTAAGCTCCTGCATCCAGTCTTAGTGAGTCACTTTGCCTCTGTTTTCTCCTTTGGGAGACAGCTATTCCCTACCTGGGATGCTGAGAAGGTTATTAGTTAATGTACTAATTAACCAAACGTGCTTTGAACAATGGGATTGCTTGAGGCAGTGGATCTCAGGAAGGTCTAACACTGGCTTTAACAAGACTGGGCTCCCAATTCTTACCAGCTGGGACACTGTGCCCTCAGCCAGGGAGAGAAGAATTGAACTCCTTTACATTATTCATAAAGGCCAGAGTCCATCCAAGCTCTTTCCTGTCCCACCATGGATGAAGATGGAGCTGTCATATCACAGACAGAGCTCTGGGGCTCCAGAGCTACAAAAAACCCAAGCCAGGGTTTGTGACAACACTGCTGGCCGTTTTACAGCAGTCTGTGACCTGCATCCCACCCTGCTCTGGAGCTCTGCTCACACCCAGAGCAGCTTCTCCTCTCTCTTCCAGAAGCTGGATGGTGGCAGAGAACTCTCTGAAGTGAGAGATGGCTTCTCTGTGCATATCACTGGGACCCATCCCAGGCTGGGTCTGGAGCTGCAGCTGCCACAAATCCTGCAAGCCAAACCAGTTTAGACTTTGGCCAGACCTGAGCTCATCCAAAAGCCATTTTGTGCAGCTTCAGACACCTTATGTGTCTATTGAGGAAAGTGAAGAGGGAAGACAAAACCCATAGTGGAGATTTGAACCTGCTGAAATGTTCCAATGGAGATGTAACCAGTGGAGCTGATGAAGGTTGTTTGCCTTGAATTCAT